TCATGTTTTAACTTTCATTTCTTACATCTACATTTTATACATATGTTGGTCATTTTGGGCCTCCTTTCACTCTTCAGTTTTATTTGTGTATATATGTAAGTTTGCTTTCTTTGCAATTTTGAGATCGAGTGTCTTAATCTCAAATTAGTGTCAAAAAAGTGTCAAATCTCAAACACAGACCAAAATTCACTCAGGAACAAGCAGATCACCCTCCTCCCCCCTTTTATTTCCTTTTCTGTTTCCATTTCTGACCTCTTCAGAATTGTCTAGTGTGTATTCTGCTTGGGTCATATTTGATATTTTTTAAAAGATTTTATTTATTTATTTATTTGACAGAGAGAGAGAGAGACCACAAGCAGGCAGAGAGGCAGGCAGAGAGGGTGGGGGAAGCAGGTTCCCCGGTGAGCAGAGAGCCCGATGCGGGTCTCGATTCCAGGACCCTGAGATCATGACCCGAGCCGAAGGCAGAGGCTTAACCCACTGAGCCACCCAGACCCCCCATATATTTGGTATATTTTGATTCTGCTCACTCACTCACCCATTCTTCTCTGGGCAAAATGACTCGAAGTGGGAATTCACAACAAAACAAAGAACCAGAGGTAATGTTCTCTGCCACAGATGTAATCCATATGGATACCAGTAAAATGTCAGAGATGGAGTTCTGGATAGCGATGATCAAGTTAATATCTGGGCCTGAAAAAAGCATAAAAGACATTAGAGAATGTCTTAGTGCAGAAATGAGATCTAATCAGGCCAAATTAAAAATGCTCTAGCAGATGCTGCCTAAATTGGATGCTCTAACAGCGAGGGTAAAGGAGGCAGAAGAGAGAGTGAGTGACGTAGAAGACAGGTTGGTGTGAAGGAAGGAAGCCGAGGGAAAGAGAGGTAAACAACTAACAGCTCATGAGGAGAGGCCTTGAGAAATCAGGGATGTTATGAAATACATCGACATCAGAATTATTGGGAACCTGGGGGTGGGGGCAGAAGGTGTATTTGAGCAACCAGAGCTGAGAACTTCCCTAACCTGGGAAAGGAAACAAGCATTCATGTCCAAGAGGTAGAGATGACCCCTCCCCAAATCAATATAAAAATAGATCAACACCCCAGCATGTAATACTGAAGCTTGCAAATTTCAGAGATAAAGAGAAAATCCTGATAGCAGGTTGGGACAAGAAGCTCCTAACCTGTGGACGGAGAAACATCACCCCAACATCAGACCTGTGCACAGAGACCTGGCAAGCCAGAAAGGGCAGCCGGGACACAGTCAGGTACTAAATGAGAGGAACATGCGGCCAAGAATCCTTCACCCAGCAAGGCTGTTGTGCAGAACTGATGGAGAGGTGAAGCACTTTCGGGACAGACAGAAACTGAGAGGACATGTGACCTCCAAGCCAGACCTGCAGGAAATATTAAGGGACATTCTGTAAGCAAAGAGAGAGCCCAAAGTATTACGGACCACTAAGAAACAATCTACAGAAAGAGGATGTTATAGGCAATACAATGGCACTAAGTTCATATCTTTAAAAAAAATTTTTAATTGTGTGATGTTAGTCACCACACATCATTAGTTTTTGATGCAGTGTTCCATGATTCATTGTTTGCGTATAACACCCAGTGCTCCCTGCCATCCATGCCCTCCTGAATACCCATCACCAGGCTTATCCACCCCCCCACCCTCCCCTCTAAAACCCTCAGTTTGTTTCTCAGAGTCCACAGTCTCTCATGGTTCATCCCCCCTCCGATGTACCCCCTTCATTTTCCCCTTCCTTCTTCTAATGTCCTCCGTGCTTCTCCTTATGTTCCACATATGAGTGAAACCACATGATCATTGACTCTCTCTGCTTGACGTACTTCACTCAGCACAGTCTCCTCCAGTCCCGTCCATGTTGATGCGAAAGTTGGGTATTCATCCTTTCTGATGGCTGAGTGATGTTCCATTGTGTGTATGGACCACATCTTCTTTAATAGTGACTCTGAATTAAATGGGCTTAATGCTCCAATCAAAGGACACAGGGTATCAGATCGAATAAAAAAGTAAGAGCCATCCACATGTCTAGAAGGGACCAGGTTTATTTTTTAAATTTAAATTCAATTAAGCAGCATAAATACATCATCGGTTTTTTTAGACGAGGAAAAATGGTTTAATTACATTTCATGTTTCATGTGTTCTCAGCATCTGCCATCCAACAGAAGTGCCCAAATACTGGTGTTGTTGAATTTAGAAAGCTAATCAATGTAAATCGTTAAAGGCATATGTTCTCATTTGTCTGAGTCAGTATAGATCCTATGTCTGAATTTTGCTTTTAAAGTCTGTATTCTTTTTTTTTAAATTCTTTTCAGTGTTCCAAGATTCATTGTTTATGCACCACACCCAGTGCTCCATGGGATCCCTGCCCTCCTGAATACCCACCACCAGGCTCACCCATCCCAACCCCCTCCCCGCCAAAACCCTGTTTGTTTCTCGGAGTCCACAGTCTCTCATGGTTCATCTGCCCTCCGATTTCCCCCGACTCCCTTCTCCTCTCCATCTCCCCATGTCCTCCTTGTCATTCCTTACGCTCCACAAGTAAGTGAAACCATATGATAACCGACTCTCTCTGCTTGACTTATTTCACTCAGCATAATCTCCTCAAGTCATCATTAGTTTTTTTTCAAGATTTTATTTATTCAAATCAGATCAAAACCACATTGAGATACCACCTTACACCAATTACAAAGGCAAGAATTCATCTATTGAAGGTCATCTTGGTTCTTTCCACAGTTTGGCGACTGTGGTCATTGCTGCTATTGTTAGGGTCCATTTTCAAAGGAACGAGACTGAGACAAAGTAAAAATTATGCAAAGATCTATTTTATGCCAAGCATTAGAAGTCAGACTGACCGGCCAGGGCCATCTCTGAAGAGAGCGACCCCCTCCAGTCTACAGGCTCAAGAATCAACTGACCCGTCAGGGCCGCCTCTAAAGAGAGCCACCCCTCCCAATCTTACAGGCCAGCTTTTATTGGGCGCAACTGCAACCCACATCTTGGTATCTCAACCCACCGGGTTTGTGTGTCTCTTGCTGATTGGCTAGCTCCATTGGGTCTGGTGACTTGTCATTCACGATTACCCCATACCAGGAGCTGTTACAAACAGTACTTTTCAGGAAGGCTTAGTCAGTTAAGATATTCAGTGTGAATAATAAGATGGTCGTCCTTCCCAAGATGGAGTGGTTTTGGTTTGGGCAAGACCTTCTCAGTGTTATAAGTAGTACTTCGTACTGATTAGATGTCTCCATCTGGCCTGACTCGTCCTTGTATTCTGGGCTCTGTTATCAGGAACTAGCCAACTACATTTTACTGGTTTCCCGGACTTGTTTCTAAGTAAGTTTCTCTTGGGGGCGGGGTCAATTTAAGTTTACTGCACAAACAACAAGATGGCTATTTAACCAAGATGGAATCGCTCTGGCTAAATAGGTCCTTACAGCTATGAACATTGGGGTACAGATGGCCCTTCTTTTCACTACATCTGTAACTTTGGGGTAAATACCCAGTAGTGCAATTGCTGGGTCATATGGTAGTTCTATTTTTAATTGAGGAACCTCCACACTGTTTCCTAAAGTGGCTGCACCAATTTGCCTTCCCACCAACAGTGTAGGAGGGTTCCGCTTTCTCCACATCCTCGCCAACATTTGTTGTTCCCTGTCTTGTTAATTTTTGCCATGCTAACTGGTTTAAGGATTGGTTGGTATCTCCAATTATATGAACTGAATGCTGTGCTGAATACAAACGGTCATTAGAAACATACTTGGACCATCCCCATCACAGAGAGAAAGACGTCAAGTTCTCACCTTTAAAGATGAAGGCCAGGTGCTGATTGCTAACCATGGCTTCATGAATTGTTGGAAACTCCTTTTTATTTCTGATGAGCTTTTGTGTGCATTATGAATTGTTGGTGTATTTTATTGAAAGCTTTGTCTGCATCTGTGGAGAGTATTTCTTAATTTTAAGTTTTTATTATTATGTTCAATTTGCCAACTTATAATACATCATTTTTGAATTTTGAATTATAGTTAACATATGATATTAGTTTCAAGTGTCCATCATAGTGAATTAGCAATTATATACGTTAGGCAGTGCTCACTCTAAGAAATCCAATTACCATGTGTCACACAAAAAATGATTACAATGTTACTGATTATATTCCCTAAACTGTAATTTTCATCCCTGGTGCTCATTTATTGTGTAACTGGAAGTTGGTACGTCTTAATCTCCTTCACCTTTTCACCCATCTCCCCATACCCCTCCCTCTGGTTTGTGAGATGATCATTTTTACTTATTCTGTTAATGTATCAGATTATATTGATTGAGTTAAGCTACTCTGTTCCTCCCCTCCCTCCAAAATCCAGTGTGGTCATGGTGTAGAGTCCTATTGCTGGATCTTATTTGTGAACGTTTTGTTTAGAGATGTACATCTAAGTTTATGTGAGAGAAATTTCTGCGCCTTTTTCATTCGCAATTACCTTGCCAGTTTTTGGTGTTCACAGTTCCCTGGCCTGATCCAATATTGCTTCCTCCCTTTTTATTCTCAGGAAAGGTTTGTGTAATTTTGGTGTGTGTCTATGCATGTGTGTAACCATGTGTGTGTTTCCTAAGGGTGTAAGTGTTTGCAGGAAATTGCCAATGAAGCTTCCTCAACAGACACAAATATAACAAAATGATTATCGCCATGCCGTTAGCTCACACTTCCATGCCATACCACAGCTGCCTTTCTTGTATGTGATGAGAACAGTTAGATCTATTCTCTTTGCAACATTCAAGAATAGGGTACAGTGTTATGAGTTGTGGTCATCATGCTGTACGTGAGATCCCCAGAACTTGTGGTCTTACAACTGTAGAGAACTTGTTCTTCTTCTGCCTATACTCCTGACCAACACCTCCCCATTTCCACACTGCAGCCCCACCAGCCACCACTCTGCTCTCCATTTCTCTCAGTTTCCACATACTTTTCAGATGGGGTTTGATCACAGTCAATGCATTCAATGTATTCATAAGGTGATACATATTTTCTACTTCTCCATCATTTTAGTAGCTTCTATTTTGAGAATTTTATCCATTGCATCTACATGTCTCATATATCAGCATAAAAGAGTTAATAATGTTCCATTCTAAATTTAAAGTCTGTAGGATGGGACGCCATCCTAATAATGGTGATGTGTGCCTCCTCCCTCTCTCTCTCTCTTTTCTTGGTTTTGTGGCTAAGATTTATAAATGTGACCATTGCTTACAAAAAGGAACACTTTCAGCATCATTGATTTTTCTCTATTTTTAAATGTGTCCTCAGTACTAGATATGTCTTGTCTTTTATTATTTTCTGCCTTCTAACTTTGTTTGGAATAACTTGCTATTCTTTTCCCAAATTCTCAATAAAATAGGTTCTGTCATTAATTATTTTAGTCTTTTTCTGTTCTAATAGATTGGTTCTTGGTTCTTATTTTCCCATTTCATAGATTTGATGTGTAACATTTACATTGTCCTTCAGTGTAAACATTCTCTCATTTCCATTTGGATTTTCTCATTTCACTCATGGGTAATTGAGAAGCCTGTTGCTTTGATTTCCAAAGTGTAGAGGTATTACTATCTTTGATGGCAGAATCAGTGACTCCCAGAGGGTCCCAGAAGTTCTTACTGGTCCATGTGAAGAGTCCAGGCTGGCTGGGGTCATCATTAGGTGGCACCCACTGTGGGCGGCTCCTGTGCCTTCCAAGGTCCCTGTGGTCCCCCTCCATGGAGTGTGGGATCAGGACCACTCCTGGGCTAGTGGATGGCCAGAGCAGCATACACACTGGGCTCTGCTGGGGGCTCCCCTGATTGGGAGGGAGGGGATGCCCTTGTCTCCTGTCTGAGGGTCAAGGGGTGAAGCTGGGTATAGGTTACATCCTGGGGGGTGTCAGATGCAGCAACCTGCAGTGGGGAAAAGAGGGGAGGTTTGTGATTGAGGAGGGGGAGCCTGAATGCTTGGAGAAGAAGGGACCCACCTGACAGTCCATCTGCCTGTTTTCCTCTGCTTGTCTGTCCTCCGAGTCCAGCAATATCTCTGACACAGGGGAAGGAGAAGTGGCCAGTCCCCACCTGAATCTTGATCTTGACCAGCTCACCTGGGCGTACGGAAGTCCCTGGGGGTCTTCATCTTGTGTGTTCTGCTGCGGACAGACAGTGAGGGGGAGGTTTGTCTCCTTGATTCCCCTCGACCACCTCAGACAATTTTCCCCATGGTTGCCAGAGCGATGCTTCAAACTTTCCTGCCCATTAGGTCACTTTCCTGGTGAACTCTGCAGGGGCTTCCTGAGCCTTGGGGCGTGTGATTCAACTCTGGCTCTGATTCTATTCTGGACAGTGTTTCTTGCTCATTTGGTTGCAGCTGCATGGGCCATGCTCCTGATAAAGCATGTTGCTGCCTCAGGACCTTTGCACCTGCTACTCTGTACCCTGCTTTATTTTCCTTGGCCCCATGTTGCCCTTGAGGATGCTGCCCACTTCCGTGCATATTGTCCACCACCCACAAAGTGAACTCATGGAGGGTGGTCAGATTTGCTCACAGCTATGCCAGCAGCACTAGGTGGGGCCTGGCAAATGCTGGGCTCCCTGTGCCTTTTGCTGGCTGAATGAATGAAGGGGCTTCGTGACCAGTGGGAGAATCATTTCTTCATGCACCCTCTTGAGACGTGAACAACCAGAAATCAGACAGTGTTTGGGGAGCCAGACAAGGGGAGCACAGAGGAGACCCCACAAGGTCACAGTGGGCTGATCCTGGGTGCCCAAGGAGTGTGAGGGCCTCTGAAGGACACTACTGAGATTGGGTGGTGTGAGGACACGGAAGTGTCCACTGGATTCAGTTTGGCACCACAGGGGTCCTGGGGTCTGCACGAGAGCAGGGCTCTTACCTGATGGTCCAGCTCCACCCCCTCCTCAGGCTGAGTGTCTTGCATGGCAGCGTCTGCTGGGACAGAAAAGGGTGTGTCTCTTGGCAAGGTCCCCTGAGCCCTCATCTCAGGGCTACAGACCCTGCCCTGCTCCCAGATAGGGCATCTGCCATCCCGGGGCTTCAGCAGTGGGCTGAGGGGCATGTGGGAATTCAGTCCTCACCCCCGACGCTGCCGGACCCTCCCAGCCCACCCCCAGGGCAGCCCCCTTCGTCTCACAGAGGCTCTCCTCCTGGGCGGCACGGGCTGGGCTGGAGCTGGGGAGGAGACAGGGTGTTAGGGGGGCATAGCAGGGGCAGGTGGGTGGGAGTCTGGGGGACTGCGGGCAGGAGTTACCTGTCGTGCAGGCCTCTGTCCTGGGGCTCCGGGTCTGCAGCCCCTGCAGGATGTTGGGAATCAGTGTCCCTCTGGGCTGGGAGGGTATGACCCCCCCTTTTGATTCTAGGGAAAGATGCCCTTCACACATACTGTCTGTGTGTTTCTCCATCTCCCCAGATCGAAAGAGGGGACAACCTTCAATTGGCACGTGGGGGCCAACCTGGGGGTTTCTTTCTAGATTCTCTGAGTTGAGATTCTGCACAAGTGTCCTCCTATGCTGGCCTTTCCCACCACTCTGGTTTCCCTCTGGCTGCTGCCCTGAGCTCATCCTTGTTCGGCCCACAGAGTCGCCACCACCCCTGGAGCCGGTCACCCCCTTCCCTTCTCACCCGACTTCCTGCCTTTGTCCCGATGCCGGTGTTGAACTGGAAGGAAGACGAGGAGGCCGAGCAGCAGGATGAAGGCCACTGCGGCCCCGAAGAGCATGTACAGGTACCAGTGGGGACCTTGGGCAGGAGCTACACCATGAATGAGCAGTGATGCCATTTAACTGAGCACCTATTGTGTGCCAGGAACCTGCTGGGTTCTGTGCACTCAGCTCTGTACCCCGTCAACAATCACCCAGCAGACAATTGCTGTCCCTCCCGCCCACCCCACAGACAGAAAACTGAGGCACAGAGAGGTCATGCACATGTCTCAGGTCGCCCAGCATGGAGGCAGCAGGGCTGAGACTAAAACCAGGGCTGTGGTTTCCCTGTGATCTCCTCATGCTGTCCCCTGTGCAGACACCAGCTCACAGTTCTGGGCCCCACATCTGGGGCACAGCCTCTCTCTGCATCTTCTTCCAGAGCTGATGGTCCTTCTAGATTACTCTTATTACCTGAATGCCCCCAGCCATTGTCCTCCCTCCCCTCCCCATACAATGTCACTGTCATTGCTGCGAAAGGACCCATAGAGTCCTGTGAGCCCTCCTCTCCCAGGATCAGAGTCATGGTCTGATGGGAAATCTACTCTGTCCACGACTCTCTCCTTTACACTTGGGGAAACTGAGGCCCACACAAGGGAGGGGCACGTGCCAGCCAGCACCTCCGGAGGCCCTTGAACCGAGGGGGCAGCTCAGCCTCTGCTCCCCACGGACCCACCCACTAAGGCTGACAGAGACCGTCATACACCCTGAGAGCCTCCTGGGGTCAGCAAGGGTGAGGTGCGGGCCTGCAGGACTCCCCACTGCACCTGACTGCTCCTCCCCTACTGGGCCCCTCCCCCTCCCTCTGCCATGACCACCCCGGCCCCCTCCACCAGCCTCAGAGCCCCTGGGGTCCCGAAGTCCCCCTGACATCTCTGAAAGCCTAGAAGAAGAGCCACTGGACAGCAGCCCCTGTGACTTACAGTCAGCTGAGCCTGGCCCTGTGGTTGTGGGGCCAGGACCCATAGAGGGTCCTGGGGAAAAGACAGGAGTGTGGGGCGGGGGGACTGGAGCTTCCCCTGACACCTTATCGCTGCACATGCTCTTCCTCCTCATGTGCCCTGTGGCCCCAAATGTCCTCCTCCACCGGGACAATTCTGGTGCTGTGGGTGAGGGCAGGGCAAGGGTGGGAAGAGCCTGTTTCCCTCCTGCACCATGAGGAGTGGACCCCTCTCCTGACATTTCCTTGGACACCTCACTCCCATCCTAGACCAGAGCCCTCATGGACACAGGGTCCTAAAGACAATGTTGGGACACAGAGGGGACAGGGTCAGCGACTCTCACCTGAGACCAGGAGCTCCAGGGGGTCACTGGGCTGTGACAACAGGTAGGGGGAGGTGCTGGAAGAGCCATAGCACCTGTAGGTCCCCCCGTGGGCTGAGGTCACAGGACTCATGGGGAATTCAGCCCGGTGCTGCCCAGCTCGGTACTGTGATCTAAGACGCAGGGGGGGATCGGCTGCCCCCTCCTTGGACAGAAGGAAAGTGTCCACAGGGCTCCGTGACTGACACAGCAGGGTCACATTCTCTCCTGGGGCCACCGTGGGTCCCGGCTGCACCGAGAGGGAGGGTGTGTAGGGCAGTTGTCCTAGAGAGAGGAAGGGCAGGTGAGGGGCTGTCCAGACCTTGATCTGAACTGAGTCTGTCTGTGTCCTCCGAGTCTGTCCCTTCCCATCCCCCATCTCTCTCTGTCTCTCTCTCCCTGGGGACCCCACACCCCTTGTCCCAGCCACCACCACCTTGGGCTCCCCTGGCAGGACCTGGGCAGTCTGGAGTCCTGACTGACACCGTGAGACCTCACCTGCGAGCAGGATGTCCAGGGGGTCACTGGGGGCCGACCACTCGGAGGAGAGGTTGTGTCCACCGTAGCACGTGTACCGGCCCCCGTGGGAGGGTCTCACCAGGCCCAGGTAGAAGTTTGCCCCGGAGAGCCCAGGCTGGGTCTGCCGGCCAAGCCGCCATGGAAGGTCAGGTGCCACCTCCTTGGACAAAGCGAATCTGTCGTAGCTGACATCAGAGTGACACTGGAGGGTCAGGCTCTGTCCAGAGGTCACGACAGGGCCCTGCTGGGTCAGGAGGGAGGGCTTCCCTGACATACCTGGAAGAGACCAGCCGTGGATAGCAGGGGCTGCTTCTCCCCAAAGCTCCCTTCTCCCATCCTGACCCCCGGGTCTCACTATCCATCACCCTCCGTGACTCTGACCTGTGAGTCCCCGTGGTCTCCTCACCCACCCTCTCTTTGGGGCTCCCCTGGAAGCAGAGCCCCCCTTAACTGTCTGGTGCCTCAAAACACAGATGGGGCAACAGTCAGACTTTCTCACCTGAGACCAGCAGCACCAGGGGGTCACTGGGGTCCGACCACACCTGGGGGGTGTTGCTGTAATAGCCATAGCATCTGAACATCCACCTGAGGCTCTGGGTCACAGGGCCCACAGGGAACAGGGCCTGGGTCCCCCCACTGGGGACTGACTGGGAGACCAGGGTCCAAGAGGGCTGGTGCTCTCCTTCCTTCATCAGGACGAACCTGTGGAATCCCATCCGTGAGGCACACTGGAGGGTCACATTCCCTCCTGAGGTCACAACAGGGCTGGGCAGAGCTGAGAGGCTGGGTTGGCCATGGGATCCTAGGAGAGGAGGAGGGGGTGGTGTTAAATGGGTCTCAGACTCCCAAGGTATCCCCAGGCTGGGCTGTGAGAGGGAGACACCTGAGAGCCCACCCCCTTCCTGTGGACAGAGTCTGGGGCTGGGACCCTGAGTGGGCTCCCACCTGTCACCACCACCAGCTCCAGGGGGTCACTGTGTTCTGACCAGTCATTGGGGCATTCATAGTCACAGCGGTATCTTCCTGCATGTACATCTGTCATGTATGTGATGGAGAAGTTGGCCTTGTCCCCGGACTCCTGTGGCTTCTGTGTGTCCCTGGTCCATGAGTCTCCCTCTTTATGCAGGTGGTACTCCTGGGCCTCCAGGCTCCCCTGACACCAGATCATCACAGGTGTCCCCCAGGGCATCACAGAGCTGGGCTCAGCCCAGATTTTGGGTTTGGGGAGGGTCCCTGGAAGGAAACAGAGGCTGGGACACAGACCTTCCCCATCCCCAGGTACCAGCTCAACCCCAAACCCCCAGAAGTGCCCCCTGGGTCAGCCCAGAACTGCTGTTCTCCATCCCCAACTGCCTGGTGGGTGACCCCTGTCCCTAGTGAGGAGGTAGGACTGGGACCTTTGCGGACAGACTCACCTGCCCATGCTTGCATCCTAGGGTCTACACTCAGCCCTGGAAGAGAGTCCCTGTGAGAGGTTTGCCCCGAATCCTAGCAGAACTCCTCCTCCCATGAGCCTCCTGAGCCTGGGGTCTCTGACAGACCAGGGCTTGGCTGTGGGGTGGCTTCCTCCCAGACTAAGGCCTCCCTTTCCCTCCTCAGATCTCACCGAGACAGAGCAGGGCCATGAAGGTGGGGGTCATGGTGTCTCGTCTCTCTCACTCTGGCTGTGCAGAGGGTGAGACCACGGTGCCCACAGGACATGCAGACATACAGGGTGTGGTTCTCAGAGGTAGCTGTCCTATCATGGGGTTGTCACGTACACAGGATATGACAACAGGAAGGTGAACAACCCCTGCCCAGGGGCCTAACCTGGCTCTGGTGTCCATGATGGTGCCGCGGGGGACGCTGGGGCTCCCTGTGGTGCCCAATCAGGTGAGGAGACCAGGGCAGGTCCTTCTCTCCCAGAGCCTCCATGGGTCTCCTTCATCCCCACAACCCTGGTCCTCACCATAGATGGGTCCCCAGACCCAGAGCTGCTGCAGAGGACATGGGTTCCTGCTGTGCTGGGGAGCTCATGTCAGCGCAGACACTCGTGTGATGTCTTTGAATGGCTCAAGTCGAGGTCATGGTGGCAAAGAGCCCAGAGGAGAAATAGACGCAAATAGGGAAGGGAACACAGACCCTCTCTTGGCCCTGGAGTGTGGACTTTCTTTCTGTCACAGCCCCCAAGGACTTCTCTCTTTTCCTGTGACATGGTCCATACCCCATTCATGGGCACATGCCTGTGTGAGTCCATCCTGGCTCCTCAGTGCCAGGGGCAGAGATGTCTTCCCCACCGTGGGGTCTTGCCTGTAAGTTATAGGGAACAATACTTGGGTGAGTGCTCTGATATGAGAGACAAAGCTGATTCTCATGTCATTACTACTCCAGTGTCCACTGCCCAGGTGACCATGAGCACAGTGACCTGGTCTGTAGCATGCTATCCTCACTCTACTCCTCAGAGTGGTTGTGAGGTCAGTGGGACCTAGATTGTGGATGGGATGAATCTTGTTAGATTCCTGACCTGATTAAGAGGGGTGTGGTTAAGACCGAAGAGGACCATGTGTCAGACCCCACAGTCAGGTTAGATATTTGATCATTGTGAGAAGTCCCAGGGAAACTGAGAGAGAACGGTGGGAATTAAGAAAAACAAGAGAGAGAAAGCTGGGATCAGGAGTTCTCCACAGCTGATGACCCAGTAGAGCCCCAACATGCCTAAGAGACTTTATTTTACAGTTCAATAACAAGAATGTTCATCAGGGAGATTGAGGTTGAGGACCACAAGTCCCAGGTGACCGCCTTTCTTCAAAGCAAGAGACTTTTCTCAAGCATATTTACAGAGGAGCTCAAGGACTGTGTCAGCATGACCTAGAGCATTTATGTGAGCCCAATCAAGTAGTGAGTGAACTGTAGGGATTGGGGGAGCTATTCCTTGACAAGACTCCCGAGACTGCAAGGACCCTGTCAGCTTGCAGTTAGGTCTCCACATCCTTGAGAGACCCCATGTGTCTTAACACTGAGAAATGCTATTTGTAATGTTATGAAATTATTGGAAACAGCCATTTGCAGGAAATGAGAAACAAAAGATTCTGAAATTGACATGGACCACAATAGAAACAGAAGTGAAAGCTGAGTGACCGCCAGTGCCTGGGGTCAAGTTGGGGGTCGTCAAATTTGATTTCTGCCTCTGTGTGACCAGAACAGGAGGCCACATTATCACAGGCACAAAGGGCATCCAGTGTCTCACTGACTGTGGAAGCAGTGTGACCCTTCTACCATGTGTGGGGTGGGTCCTGGCATGTCTATGCCCATTGACCCAGCCCAGACATCAGCACTGAGCCATGTCCCCTCTGTGTGTGTGTGTGGAAGAGTTTTGCCCAGTGAAAGCCCCACAGGCAGCAGTCCACGTGTGAGGGTGTGGCTCCCATGGGAGTCATCCCTGCCAGACACATCCCTGCTCAGGGACAGTGGATCCCTGCAGTGGGACAGTGGATGCCAGAGGTCAGTGGGGCTGTAACCACCCAGCCCTTACAGTCCTGAGCTTCAGGACAGCCTTGGAAGCAATTGTCTCTGGAACTCAGGGGTGTAGGAGGTGAGTGTCCAACAGGAATGGACATCAGAGTGGGACCCCAATGTGATAAGGAGTGCTCAGGAAGACTGTGTGCAGACTTGTCAATCATAGTCCAGGACATGAAACAGCAGGAATATAGGAAACTCATTTTATGTTAAAAGTGTGAACTACTGATAGATTGGAACACATTGAGTATTTGCAGCAACAATGAAATTATATTATGAAAGAACAAAGAAATCTGGAAATGAATTAATTCAATTCTTTGGAGGTAAAAAAATAAAAGCAAAAACTTAATGTGAATAATCATTCCATCTGTGAGAAGATGCAACTGAAAGGCAGAACACGAAATTGGAAGTCAATGCTGAGGATGCTTTGTCCGATGACAGACAGACAGGCTGAAATGAGAAAATGCAGATACCCAGGAAACAGGGGGCGGGTGGATACTGTGAGTCTGGACAGAGAGCAGCAAGGAAGGTGTGCGGGCCAGTGGTCAGGTGTTGTAAAGAGACACAGACAGAGCAGGAGGCTGCTGGTATGCATGGATGTGTCCCTGAGATCTGTGTCTCCGTGTCTCCTGATAAAGCAAAGGAAGTTGATGGGAGCTGAGTTTTAAGGAGAAGAAAAAAGCCGAGAGATCGGGATATGCACTTATATGGAATCATGAATGAGGGATGCTTTACTCACCCAAGGGAGCTTGAAAGGACAGAGGTAAAAGGGTTGGCAGGGCCCACATCCTCAAGCACAAGGAGACAGGGACTTCATGAAGCCTTCGGCTTCATCTCTGTGAGGGAGGAGGAGAGCCCCCCAGCAGCAGTGTTCCCAGCTCCTCATCATTGGGTCCCCTCCTGTACTTGGAATAAGGCAATGTTTTCTTTCTTTTTCTTTTTTTTTTAATCTGGGAAATCAAAGAAATTTTTGTTTATTATTTTTTACTGTTTTTTAACATCTGAATTAAATTTTATTTTATTAGTGTTCCAAGATTCATTGTTTATGCAACACACCCATTGTTCCATGTAATACCTGCCTTCCTTAATACCCACCACCAGGCTTCCCCAACATCCCCTTCGTTACAAAACCCTCAGCTTTGTAGAGTCAGAGTCTGCAGTCTCTCATGGTTTGTCTCCCCCTCCGATTTCCTTCAATTCACTTTTCCTTTTCCTATTCCTAATGTCCTCCATGTTATTCCTTATGCTCCACAAGTAAGTGAAACTCTGCTGGTCTTTTCTAGAAAGCATGTGGATGGCTCTTACTTTTTTATTCAATCTGATACCCTGTGTCTTTTGATTGGAGCATTAAGTCCATTTATTTTCAGAGTCACTATTAAAAGAAGGTGTGGTCCATATATACAATGGAATGTGTGAGCCCGGTGATGGGTATTCAGCAGGGCACAGAGTGCAGGGAGCACTGGGTGTTGTAGGAAAACAGTGAATCATGGAACACTGCATCAGAAACTAATGACGTACTGTGTGGTGATGAAAAAACAAAAAAATCTGCATAAGATTATCAGATTTACAAATCTATTCATAAGATGTGGTGAGTGCACAAAATTAATTTTTTACACTAAATGCTTGCTCAAATGTATACAATTACGGAGTATTTCATATCTTACGTTATCTAAACATGCAAAGAAACAGGCATAAGCCAAAATCACAACTACCACTTCCCGACAGTGAACAGCAGAAGAACGAGGCACAAACAAATCCGCTTCCAGAGAGGGGGAGCAGGGGTCCACAGGTGAGGAGACTGCAGCCCAGAACAACTCCTCAGTCCCGTATTTATTAGCTATGAGATAACAATAAAAGGAGGAAGCAGATTATAGGTTAAAGAGATAAGCCGGTTCAAGCAGTATAGGATTTGGGGTTGAGTAAATGCATTTAAAGGAATCATCTAATTAACTACAGGTGATCTCCCAAGAAGGGAAGATAACAGAAGTTCCGCCCTGAGCAGGTGGGAGATCCCAGCTGCTTCTCTGCAAGGACGTGTATTGTCCTCTCCCCAGGGGCCCCTGCTGGTCCACGATCAAGCTTGTGTGGTCAGTACCTTGTTCTGAGGGATGGTTACACACAACTTTACCTTCATTCATACATTCATTTACTTATTTATTTATTTTATAGATTCTATTTGTTTATTTTTGAGAGAGAGACAGAAAGAGAGAGAGAGACAGAGAGCGAACACAAACAGGAAGGAGGGACAGAGGGAGAAGCAGATTCCCCACTGAGCAGCGATCCCCCAACACAGGACTCCATCCAGGACCCTGGGATCATGACCTGAGCCTAAGGCAGATGCCTCACAGAATGAAATTCAAAGGCACTCAAATCACAACTAAAAAAGAAAAAAAAGGAAAACCCATTTATTCCTTGGAGTCAGTGTAGCAGCTCCCACCTGACTTCACCTCAAACGCCCCTGAGCTCACTCAAACTGATGGTGTTTCTGGAAGATTCTACCATGTGTTGCCACATGAGGACAGAACTCTATGAGTCCAAGAGAGTTCAGGGAATGGTTTTGGATTCATCTGTTCCAAAGCGGACCTAATTTCACTCACTTATTTACTTATGAAAACAGTCTGTGTTTTGGGCTGAAGGGACGGAGGACAGTAGCGCCCATCAGGGAAGGTGGAAATGGAAAGTGAAGGAAAATGTATCCCATGAAGGTGGACCAGAGCTGCCGCTGTAGGAACGTATGAACCAGGCGTGCTGTGGGGGATGAACCCTCAAGTCACAGGGATGAGGAAGGAGGGGCAAGACCAGGATGTCCAGCAATGCAGGAGGGAAAGCACCACAGGTCATGAAGGACCAGTCCCGGACAGGGAGCAGCCCAGACATGTCCTGCACCTGAACCATGCTCCCCCTCGATGTTGTCAGCAGACAGATCAGCGAGGGTGAGCTGCAGGCTTTCCTCCAGATCCCTCTGGGCACCTGGAATGCATGCCCACGCTCTGCCACATGGAATGGTGGCTTTGTTCCCCCTCACGTTTAGCTCCTGGCTGTGTCTGGGGTCCTTCTCTGGCTGTGCTGTGCCTCTAGCAGCAGAATCCCGAGGACCACCAGGATCAAGACAGCCACGCCCAGGCGGGTCAGATTCTCCACCGTGTAATCTCTGGGATCCAAGGCTAGGAATGAGGACCGAGATGTTGCAGAGGTCAGAGAGGACCCAAATCACCCAGGATCCTGCATGTCCAACACGGGACCTGCTTCCCCAGACAGGACACCCCCTCCATACCAGCACCATCAGTGGAAATTTCTCCTACTCACCACTGCTGGGGTCTGAGTTGTTTTGGGGTGGGCTCACGGTGCCAGCTGCTTCTGCAGGGAAGATGGAAGCAGATGGAAGGAGCTGGAGACCCTCGTCCAACCTGTCATCTGCTCTGTGTCTCTATCCCTCAGTCTGTCACTATGTGGTTTTTGTACAGTTCCTGAACTAGCCCTTCTCTGCACTAGGGGCTTTCCTCTGCTCTCCTCACTGGATTCCTTCAGCCTCCTTGTTCTCTTTGATTTCAGACTCTGCTTCTGAGTCACTTGGGATAGATTCTGGCTGTGCCCCACCAGCTCAGGGTTGCAGGGAAAAATGGCCTCCCAGCACAGAAATCATCATGTCCTCACATGTTCTCTGCTCAGTCTGGGACACAAGACCTCCTGGGCTCATGTCCCTGTAGATGACAGTTCCCACTTATTCAGTAGCCGAGGTCCCAGCAGCATCCATGGATGAGGGGCTGGAGCAGGGGCTCCTGACTCTCAGGAGCACAGAGGGGATGATGTCTGGGGTGGGGTTCCTGTCGCTCCATGTCAACCAGCTCCCTTCCTTCAGGGTCTGCACTTTATTCTATACCTACAGTATTCCTCCTTGGATGTGTTCATTAATTCATTCTTCATTTACTTACAGATACCCACAGTGCCAGACACACACACACAGAGATCTGTGTGCGCACATCTACAACAGACATATAAATATGTATCCACGAAAGGTGATGGTCAGGCACCGGGTCATAGGAACACCGTTATTGCTCACATGCAGTGTGGATGGAGATGGGAAGAAGAGCTACATAAGTAAATAAACCAACCAACCGATAAACAAACAAATAAGATAAATGAGATTCATTGAAAACGTGCTAAGACCGGGGAGTGCCCAGAGCTGGTGCCCCACAAGGACCGTGTGATTCCATCTAACCCCAATGCACACAGGAGAAGAAGGACTGGTTTCTGAGTCTGGCGTCCCTGTCACCTGAGTTCCCTTTGTCCTCATCTGCAGGTGCTGCTCTAGAAGGTGTGAGAAGCAGACACAGGGACACTGGGCCAGCGTCCACACACATTGTAGAGAGGACACCAGTGCACATGGACATAGGGTGCAGCCTCCCTGGGGACTCCTGTGAGCCGGGATTGGTCCCTCCTGGGTCTCATGTGTGCACCGAGGGGCATAGAGATGCCCAGGTGAGCACAGGTGGGAGGCAGTAGAGTGGTGCCCGCAGGTGGGGAGGCTTCTGTGCAGGAGAGTGTCCCGTGGGGCTGACAACACCATCAGATTCTACTATGGAGGGACTGGAGGTGAGTGGGAGGTGCTGTCCACTCACCATCATCCTCACTCACCCCCCACGCAGCTTCTACTCCTTACTCTGCTGAGACTGCAGGATGGGGGACCCCGGGTGCACACTGTGGATCTTCCCAACCTCTCCAGGACAGGACCCTCCTCTGTGCAGCCCCCGTGGCCCCCACATGTGTTACTATGTCAGGCTTTCCTGAGACGTGAGTCCTGAGCTGACAGAGCTCAGACAGGACATTGTCAGGGACCCTCACCTGAGACCAGCAGCTCCAGGGGATCACTGGGCTGTGACAACAGGTAGGGGGAGATTTTGGAAGAGCCATAGCACCTGGGCTGAGGTCACAGGACTCATGGGGAATTCAGCCCGGTGCTGCCCAGCTCGGTACTGTGATCTAAGACGCAGGGGGGGATCGGCTGCCCCCTCCTTGGACAGAAGGAAAGTGTCCACAGGGCTCCGTGACTGACACAGCAGGGTCACATTCTCTCCTGGGGCCACCGTGGGTCCTGGCTGCACTGAGAGGAAGGGTGTGTAGGGCAGCTGTCCTAGATAGAGGAAGGGCAGGTGAGTGGCTGTCCGGCCCTTGCTCTGTGGAGTCGGAGTTTGTCTGTGTCCTCCGAGTCTGTCCCTTCCCATCACCTGTCTCTCTCTGTCTCTCTCTCCCTGGGGACCCCATACACCTGGTCCCGGCCACCATCAGCTGGGGCTCCCCTGGCAGGACCTGAGCAGAGTCTGCAGTCTTGACTGACACCATTAGCCCTCACCTGCGAGGAGGATGTCCAGGGGGTCACTGGGGGTCGACCAATCAGAGGTGAGGGTGTGTCCACCGTAGCACATATACCGGCCTCCATGAGAGGTCTCACAGGGCCCAGGGGGAAGTCTGCCACAGACAACCCAGCCTGGGGCTGCCGGCCAGCCTGCTGGGGAGGGTCAGGTGCCCCCTTTTTGGACAGAGCGAATCTGTCGTAGCTGATATCAGAGTGACACTGGAGGGTCAGGCTCTGTCCAGAGGTCACGACAGGGCCCTGTTGAGTCAGCAGGGAGGGCTTTCCTGACATACCTGGGAGAGACATGCCGTGGATGGCAGGGACGGAATGTCCCCAAACATCCCTTCTCTGGTCTTGACCCCCAGATCTCACTGTCCATCACCCTCCGTGACTCTGACCTGTGAGTCCCCATGGTCCCCTCACCCACCCTCCCGTTGGGTCCACCCTGGGAGCAGAGTCCCCATTAACCTGTCTCAAAATGGTGGTGGCTGTTTTTTTAAGGGAGCCTCAAAACCCGGATGGGGCACCAGTCAGACTTTCTCACCTGAGACCAGCAGCTCCAGGGGGCCACTGGGGTCCGACCACACCTGGGGGGTGTTGCTGTAATAGCCATAGCATCTGAACCTCATCTGAGGCTGGGGGTCACAGGGCCCACAGGGAACAGGGCCTGGGTCCCCCCACGGGGGGCTGGCTGGGAGTTCAGGGTCCAGGAGGGCTGGTGCTCTCCTTCCTTCATCAGGACGAACCTGTGGAATCCCATCCGTGAGGCACACTGGAGGGTCACATTCCCTCCTGAGGTCACAACAGGGCTAGGCAGGGCTGAGAGGCTGGCTTGGCCATGAGATCCTAGGAGAGGAGGAGGTGGTGGTGTTAAATGGGGCTCAGACCCCCCACAGTATCCCTAGGCTGGGCTGTGAGAGGAGAAACCTGAGAGCCCACCCCCTTCCTGAGGGCAGAACCTGAGGTGGGACCCTAGGTGGGCTCACACCTGTCACCACCAGCTCCAGGGGGTCACTGTACTCTGACCAGCTGGTGGGACTGAAGTAGCTACAGTGATATCTTCCTGCATATACATTTGTAAGGTATGTGATGGAGAAGTTGGCCTTGTCCCCGGATTCCAGCGGTTTCTGTCTGTCCCAGGTCCCTGAGTATCCTTCTTTATGTAGGAGGTACCCCTGGGCCTCCAGGCTTCCCTGACACCAGATGGTCACAGGTGTCCCCCAGGGCATCACAGAGCCTGGCTCAGCCCAGATGGTGGGTCTGAGGAGGGTCCCTGGAAGGAAACAGAGGCTGTGACTCAGACCTTCCCCACCCCCAGCTCCCAGCTCAACCCCAAACTCCCAGACACTCCCCCTTGTCATCCCAGAGCTACTGTTCTCCATCCCCTGCTGCCTGGTGGGTGACCCCTGTCCCCAGTGAGGACTGGGACCCCTAGGGACAGACTCACCTGCCTGGGCTCGGGTCCTGGCGCCCACACTCAGCCCTGGAAGAGAGTCCTGTGAGAAGTTTGCCCTAAATCTTTGCAGATTCCCTCCTCCTGTGAGCCTCCTGAGCCTGGGGCCTCCAACAGACCAGGGCCTGGATGTGGGGCAGGTCCCTCCCAGGGGTGTCCCCTCCCCTCCTCAGATCTCACCAAGACACAGCAGGGCTGTGAGGGTGGAGGTCATGGTATTTCCTCTCTCTGGTTGCAGCTGGGCAGATGGAGGGCCCACTGTGACCACAGGACAGACAGACACACAGGGTGTGGCCACATGGATACCCGCCTGCCTGTCACAGGGTTGACACATCAGCAGTGCCACAGGAAGAACAGCCTCTCCCCTGAGACCTGCTCTGGTGTCCATGATGGTACAGGGGGTGGACCCTGAAGCTTCCTGAGATGCCCCTTCCAGGTGAGGAGACCAGGGCAGGTCCTTCCCTCCCAGAACCCCCCCATGGGTCTCCTTCATCCCTACAACCCATGGTCCTCACCACAGATATGTCCCCAGACTCAGATACACTGCAGGGGACATGGGCTCCTGCTGTGCTGGGTAGCTCATGTCAGCACAGACACGCATGTGATGTCTCTGAGTGGATCAGGTCGAGGTCACAGTGGCAATGAGCCAAGAGGAGAAATACAGGTAATTAAGGAAGGAAACACGGCCCCTCTCCTGGCCCTGGTGTGTGGCTTCCTTTTTCTCACAGCCTCCAGGACTTCTCTATTTTCCTGTGACATGGTCCACACCCCATTCATGGGCACATGCCTGTGTGAGTCCCTCCTGGCTCCTCGGTGCCCCTTGTTGCAGGGGCAGAGTCGTGCTCCCCACCCTGGGGTCTTGCCTGTAAGCTGTAGGGAACAATACATGGGTGAGCACTCTGATATGGGAGACAGAGCTGATTCTCATGTCATTACTACTCCACTGTCCACTGCCCGGGTGACCATGAGCACAGTGACCTGGTCTGTAGCATGCTGTCCTCAACCCCACTCTCAGTGTGGTTGTGGGGGTCAGTGGGACCTGGAACGTGGATGGGAAGAATCTTGTTAGATTCCTGACCTGATTAAGAGGGGTGTGGTTAAGACGAGGAGGTCCATGTGTCAGATCCCACAGTGAAGGTGGACCAGTGATGCATCTCTCAAGAGACCCCATGAGCTGTTCGCACTCAGAAATGCTACTTATGTTTCTGAAATTATTGACAACAACCTATTTCAGGAAAGAGAAACAAACATTTCTGAAATTCAGGGGACTTCAATAGAACAGAGGCCAAAGCTGAGTGACCACCAGTGCCTGGGGTCAAGTTGGGGGTGGTCAAATTTGATTTCTGCCTCTGTGTGGTCAGGTGGGTGGCCTGGTCTTCACAGGCAGGAAGGACATCCAGTTTCTGGCTGACTGCGGAAGTAGTGACCCTTCCACCTTGTGTGGAGTGAGCACTGACATGTCTATGCCCACTGACCCAGCACAGAGGTCAGCACTGAGCCACGTCCTCTGTGTATGTGTGTGGAATGGTTCCATCGAGTGCACCCCCTGGCCAGTGTGAAATGCCATGAAGGACAGGTTTTTAAAAACTGATTATTTCTTAGAGTTAGTGTAGCAGCTCACCACGAGGCTGTCCCTTCAAACACCCCTGAGTTCCCTCAAGCAGATGGTATTTCTGGAAAACTCTGCCAGCTATCATCAGAAGAGCAGAGAAGAGCTCTATGAGTCCAGAGAGGGTTTAGGGAATGGTCTTCCATTATCTGTTTCCAAGTAGATCCTACTTTTACCCCATCTATTCAGTGATTCAAAACCAGATTTTGTGTCCTATAAGGAACAGAAGTATACTTCAAAGGATGTGGTTAATAAAAATGAAGGAAAATGTGTATATATAGAGAGGTGGACCAGCCTGTGAGGGTGTGCATATGTGTGGGTCCACACCTGCAACCTGAATGCAGTCTCATGTCATGGGAGTGAGAAAGGCAGGGACCGGTCAGGGACAATCAATATCAGTAGAGAAGAACTTACCAGCTTCATGGCACAAAAGTCCTCCACAAGAAATTAAAGAGAGAGCTTCCCTATGACCCTGCCATTGCACTACTGGGTATTGACCCCAAAGATACAGATGTAGTGAAAAGAAGGGCCGTCTGTACTCCAATGTTTATAGCAGCAATGGCCACGGTCACCAAACTGTGGAAAGAACCAAGATGACCTTCAATGGACGAATGGATAAGGAAGATATGGTCCATATACACTATGGAGTCTTATGCCTCCATCAGAAAGGATGAATACCCAAGTTTGTAGCAACATGGATGGGACTGGAAGAGATTATGTTGAGTGAAATAAGTCAAGCAGAGAGAGTCAATTATCATATGGTTTCACTTATTTGTGGAGCATAACAAATAGCATGGAGGACAAGGGGAGCTGGAGAGGAGAAGGGAGTTGAGAGAAATTGGAAGGGGAGGTGAACCATGAGAGACTATGGACTCTGAAAAACAACCTGAGGGTTTTAAAGGGGTGGGGGGTGGGAGGTTGGGGGAACCAGGTGGTGGGTATTGTAGAGGGCATGGATTGCATGAAGTACTGGGTGTGGTGCAAAAACAATGAATACTGTTATGCTGAAAAGAAATAAAAGAAAAAAAGTCCTCTACAAGCAAGACATGTTCTTTCCACACATTTCCTACATGCAAACCATATTTACTTCTCTGGACATTCTCAACACACAGTTCCCTCAGTGTAATGCTCCAGATTTTCTTCCAGAATTTACCCCACTCAGTGGTGAGGATCTACCTTGCTGAATGGTCAGTCTTCTCTATCTTAGATTTCTCTGCTGGCTGCATCTTGGGGTCTTCTCTGACTGCCACGCTTGAAAGAGCAGCACCCGAGAACCATCAGGATCACAGCAGACATGCCCATCTGGATGAGATTCTCCATTGTGTAATCCAGTTTCTGGGTGACTGTGGAAGTAGTGACCCTTCCATCTTGTGTGGAGTGGGCACTGACATGTCTATGCCTACTGACCCAGCCCAGAGGTCAGCACTGAGCCACATCCTCTATGTATGTGTGTGGAATGGTTCCATCCAGTGTACCACCCCCAGTGGTGTCTTGCCCATGTATGAGTGTGTGGCTCCCATGGGAGCCATCCTTGCCAGACACATCCAAGCTCCGGTTCTAAGCAGGAAGATGGATGCCAGGGGGTAATTGGGGCTGTGACCATCTATCTATTCCTTACAGTCCTAAGCTTCAGGACAGCTCTGGGAGCAACTATGTCTGGAACTCAGGGGTGTGGGAAGTGAGTGTCCAATAGGAGGGGACATCAGAGAGTGGCCCCAATGTGATAAGGAGTGCTATGGAAGACTGTGTGCAGAGTCGTCAATCATAGTCCAGTGGAACAGCCAGAATGTGAGAAACTCGTTTTCCTTTAAGCACATGAAATATTGAAAAAGTGAACATTGGATTTTTGAAGCAATAACAGAAGTTATATTATGGAAGAAGATAGAAATTGGAAATGAGAAAAACAAGACAAGATGGCGCGGAAGTAAGAGGAGGCACTGTTTCAACCTGTACCCTAAAGTGAGCTGATTACCTACCAAAGAACTCTGATCCCCCATGAAATCAGCCTCAGATTAGAATTATACTCTTCTGGATCTCAGTGGGGGCAGAAGATGACAATGGGCAGGTAAAGCAGAGTGGGAACATTGGACTGATATTGGAAGATACACAAAAGGGGGAGAGAGCCACCAGAAGTGACCATTGGAAAGTAATACCCCAATACGAGAGTGCCCTGTGACTGGGGACCAGCATTAACTTGGAATCTGTTGAAAGCACTGAAAAAGAGCAAAGGATCATGGGGTGAAATTGTGGGAATCTGGGCGGTTAGGGACAGGGGCTCAAGTCCCCAGAACCAGCACAGCCACCCCTGGTCCTGAGCCAGAGAGAGTGCGGGGAAGAAGCCAGGTCTTGGTCCCTGAGCCACCAATGCTCCCGAGAGCATCTGGGTGGCCGCTCCTGTGAGGGGCAGGGAGCCTCGCCATCCAGGAGAACCACAGCCTTTTGCACTCTCTGCTGCACTACCAGAGTCTGAGTCACGCCCCACACCCCTGCCTGAGAGAGGTGCGTGCAGGCACCATCTGGAGGTCTCTGGGACCCCAGAGAATCTGAGCACTCCCAGCCCCGGCCAGTGGGAGAATCTCAGTGCGCTATCCATGCTTGGGACCCCTCTGGAGGTCTGGAGCTACCCAGACAGCCGCGGTTATCGAGGTTTTGGATACAAGCGGGAGGTCCTGTGACCCCAGAGACTGTGACTGGGAACATGCTCTGCCCGCGGCCGAGGGGGGACTGATGTGCCCTGGAGCACTCAGAGGGGAACAGACTGAGGCTTGTCTCTGAGAGGGAGGTCTGGGGGCACTTTGCTTTCCTCGAAACCTCCAAACCCATCAAGAGCCGCCAAGGGGAGAGAAAACAAATGAATCAAAAATTCCAGAGATCAAAAGCCTGAAAAATCGGTTTCCTCAGAGCCCACCCCCTTGATGGGGGCAGGAGGACTTAACTCAGGGAACACTGCCTGAAAACCCATGCGGCAGGCCCCTCCCTCAGAAGGCCAACCAAAAAAAAAAAAAAAAAAAAGAAAAAAGAAAGAAGACAACCACTACTACTTCATAGATACAGCTTTTATTTTTAATTTGTTCCCACTATTCTGGCTCATTTTTTTATAGATAAATTTTTTTAGAATTATCCAAAAAATCTTTAATAAATAATTTATCATTAATGCTTCTGTGTTTTTTGCACTGTATTTAAATAGTATACCTCATATATAACAGTTCTAAGAGAAGTTTTATTTTAATATTCACTCTTTAATTATTATGTCACATGCATTTTTTATAATCATTTTTTTTAAATTTAGATAAATTTTAAACCTATTTACCATCATAGTGAGAATCCAGTACATCAAACTCTATAATAACCTTTTAAGCAGAACTTTTTGATACATATACCTGTGTTTTTCTTTTGCTTTTCTCTTTTTAATTTAATTTTAGTTTAGTTTAGTTTATTCTTTTTTTATTTTTATTTTTTTAACATTCATGTAGAGTTAAACTTCAAGGTAATCCCCTTTCCCTAATCAATGCACCCCTATAAGTAAACCGGTTTTTAATCCCCCTTTATCTCAGGAAAGTTGAGTCCTTTAACAAAGATATCAAGATACATCCAGGAAGAATCAAAATAACCTTCCTCACCCACACTGAGAATTTATAACCACTCTCCTATCTTTTTCTTCTGCCAGTGTTTCTGTGTATTTGTTTTTGTCCTGGTAGTATATAAATCTTATACTTGGGGTTCTTTTTGACAAGGTTCTTTTTTTGTTTCTTTGTTTTTATATATTTATTTTTTTTCTCTTGTCATCTACTTTTATCAGCCTTTTTGTTTGTCTGTTTTTGTTTGTATACTTCATAAATCTTACCTTGGACCCATTTGCACTGGGCCTTCTCTTTTATTTTATCTTTCTTTTTTTTCCTGTCTCTCTCTCTCTTTTTCTTTTTCTTTCCTTTTTTTTTTCTTTTTTCTTTCTTTTCGGTGGGGACTCTTGATTGCTCAGTAGCATTCCAGGGTGCACCTTGCCTGCACCACGGTCAATACATTCAGCTACATCCGTTCGGACATCTCTCAGCAAAATGACTAGGAGGAGGAATGCCCAACAGAAGAAAAATACAGAGACTGGGCCTTCTGCAACAGAGCTAATGACTATGGACGTAGACAATATGTCAGAAAGGGAATTCAGGCTAACAATTATCCAGACAATAACTAGGTTGGAGAAAGCCATGGATGACAAAATGGAATTGATTAGGGCAGAACTGAAAGGCACCAGGGATGATATTCA